TGTGGACTTTTTATCAACCTGTCCTTCAAATCAAATTCTTCCACATTCCAATATAAGAACTGACCCCAACTTTTCGCTCTTTCTTTAGCTTCTCATTCCCTATTCATTTTCAACTTCTGATCTTAATAGCCTATTTCTTCTCAAATACTACTAAATAAACAAATGTTGAATAATGTAATAGAAATACATTGATCTCCGCCAATTAACTTCTTCCATGTGGCATACCGTATATGTAACTACTCCCGCCATTTTTGCTACATACTCCACATATGAATTTTTTCCCATATATTGTTGACTGATTAAAAATTTTAAAAAATTGAAAACAAATCAATTTAACACATAAATAGGTAATTTTTTAATAATGTTAGGATGCAGGTGGGGTTAAGGTGATGTAGGTGGCAGTGAGAAGAGATTGCAAATTCCATGCATATCACGGAGTCGCCGGCTCACCGCTAGTCTTTGTTTGTGTGTGTGTGTATGTGTATGTATCAATCAAATTATGTGTAGTTGTGTTGGGAAGCAATCCCTTCCCAAATGCTTAATTCTTTATTTATCTAAAAAACCAATATTCCATTCAATCAACATGCAACAGATCATGGACATTTCAAACACATCCCACTAATCCGATTCCCCTAAAAAATTTAGAGAGAGGTGCAAATTTCTTACATCAAGCATGGTCGCCGTTTATTCTATTCAACATATAAAAAGCAATCAAATTAGATGGGAGTTGGATTGATAAGCTCCTTTCCTCCCAATTTTCTTTTTTCTTAAAATTTATATTTATTTAATCATAACACAAGATTTGATCCAATTATATTATAGCACACGTCCCATGTAACAACCCCTCTCCCTAATAATTAACTACCACTCATTTATATATTTTTTGTTTCTTGAAAAATTAGTTTTATCACCCTAAGTTTCAATAATTCTTTTATCACCCTAACTTTTCATAATTCTCTATCTAACTTCTCAAATGATGGAATGAGAAAGGAAAAAAGGGAGAGGAAGGAGAACGGGGTGGGCAAGGAGATCGGTAAGAATTCCATGCATCGCACTAGACAACCACTAGTACATGAAAAGAGGGAACATCTCGTCCAACTCTCAACCCCATTCTACAAGTGCGTCAAGACCATCAACATGAATAGCAATTCACAAAAATAGTTCAGACCCACCATCTATCGAAAGGAGAAATAGTGTTCAATCGAAACTACCTACGAGTCAAATGCTCAATTGGTATATCAAAACCTTTGAAAAGGGGATTGTACTTAGTTCAAGACAATCTTGATGACCTACAGATTAGCTTTAAATATGAGAGCTTATCCAAATTTGTAGCACAAATTTGGACAGCTTGGCCATAGTTGTGGTCTCTGCCCAGAAAGGAACATTGAGGAAGTTGGAGAGGATGCATATGGACCAGAGCTAGGAATCAAACCAAAATAATCAAAGGTTCTTGCTTGAGAAAATTCCTTTTTGTTTCCTAACCTCTAAACATCACCTTTTAGCATGTATAGTATATGGATGAAGGGGTGTGTCACTCTCATTGGGATGATGTCAAAAGAAAAGGCAACGAAATGGTAGATGAATGAAATGTCAAATGTGTGTGTGTGTGAACAAAAATGCTCCCCAAGGGCAAGGAAACTTTCACGGATCGTGTTTTACTTGGTGGTATTTCAAGGTCGTTTCCACGGGAAAGGAAGTAAACCGAGGGGAATGTGATTTTGGGAGAAAGAAAGTGTAAAATCTTTGATTGTTGGAAGTTGTTTTGATGCTAGTAAAATGAGAAATAAATGTTGACAAATTCAAGAGGTCACTCAAAAAAGAATACCGTCTCAACTTGAAACCCTCCTCCAATAGAGCATGAATGAACGATTGATTCGTGGAAAGTTAGGGATAAGATTGGTGAATATCTAAGCATAAATCGTGACTAGGCCCACGGAATATCAAAGACTCACCAAGTTATCCATCCTCAATCCAGTCAAACCGAACAATTGAACTCTGAAAGAAGGGAGGAGAATGAGTTAAAAATGGTATACCCAAGTGGAGGTTCCCCTTGGTTTTGCCATCTAAGAGATTTAGCTACTCATACTTAAAGTAAAGACAACAATATAATAAGAAGACATTATAAAGAAATGAAGATTGAAGCTAAATATAAACAAAATGTACAAATTTAACTTCCAAATAATTATACATTTCTTTCACCTCTTACTAAAAATTGAATGAGAAACTACTCACTCTTCATGGCTTTGATAAAGCTAAAAAAGTGAGTGATGCTCATCCTTCTAAGTAGAGGAGTTACAAGGTAAAACACTTTACACAAGGAGCCGATCGTCGACAAAAAATGAATGAATCACGTTCCACCCTTCACGGCTTTGGTAAGCTCTTAGAAAAGTGGAAGAGTTTCACTTCTCTAAGGGAAGAAGGAAGCTTAACAATAGAAGTAAAAGAAAGCAATAATACAATAAAATAAAGTAATACTTAAAGAAAACAATGAGCAAGAGAGCAATAATACTTTTGGAGGATTTTTCATTACCGAAAGATAAATGTTTTACAAGTCCTTAGGGGTGGTATTTATAGACAACAAGGGAGGGTGAAAGTCTTGTTTTGTGACTTTGAATTACATGAAAGTCTTGTTTGGTGACCTTGAATTACATGAGAGTCTTGTTTTATGGCCTTGAATTCTTTGATTCCCCTTTGTTTTAAGCTTTGATAATTGGCACCCCAGTAGTTTGTAGCTTTAATGCAATTGACTCTCTAGTAATTTATAGCTTTGACACACAAAGTCCTGAAAATAACAACAATTAATGCATTATCATTTATTCACACACTAACCCTAATTTGACTTATTTTGATTAGTTTAACTTTGTTTAACTAATACAATTGACCTATTAACTTAATTAAATTATGCATTAAATAGGGTCAATCAGTTCTCTTCAAAAAAAATTGGACAAGGAAATTGACTGAAAATTTCAAGAAGGCTAGAATCCACTCCAAACAGTGGAAACAGTCGGAGAAGATGGCACCGAAGCGATAGGTGAACACAACCTACTGCCTAACAACACGCGCACATTGCAATAGGGTGAAAGCTATTACATTCCAAAAAGGGTCACCATCCAACAACAAAAATCTACCAAACAAACCCACTGTCGACACATGGCCAACAAACCAGAATACCTGACAATGAGACAAAAGCAAGAAGGAACTCACACGTAAAGAACTAATGAGGTAGACAACATGATCCTCTTGAAAAAAGGGAAAGATGTGGAAACCCTAATTCCCCAAGTCCACCACACCCCATATCAGCGATCAAGGGAACCCAAGTGAAACCCAACGCTTTGTGACTAAACCACCAGAAAGCCTAAATCACTTCTCAATGGACCCAATTCAAACCAGATATTTGGGATATGTGGAGTGTAAAAAAGCAGATCTAGAAGGACCCTTTTAACATAAGCCCGTCACCCAAACCTTGGTACTGGACGGGGAGGGCAAGGCAATGGGTAAGCATCGGGCAACCACTAGTACATGAAAAAAAGGAAACATCTCTCTCGAGTCTCAACCCCAACCCCATTCTGCAAGTATGTCAAGACCATCAACATGAATAACAATTCACAAAAAATGTTTCAGACCCACCATATATCGGAAGGAGAAATGGTGTTCAATTGAAACTACCTACGAGATAAATGCTTAATTGATATAACAGAACCTTTGAAAAAGGGATTCTACTTAGTTCAAGACAATCTTAACGACATATAAATCAACTTTAAATATGAGAGATTGTCCAATTTATACTACAGATTTGGATGGCTTGGCTACAGTTGTGGTCTCTACCCATAGAGGAACACTGAGGAAGTTGGAGAGGATGCATATGGACTAGATCTAGGAATCAAAGCAAATCAACCAGAGGTTTTCTTTGGTACAGGATAGGGAGGGCAAAACGATGGTTAAGAATTCCATGCATCGCACTAGGCAGCCACTACTACATGAAAAAAGGGAACATCTTTCTCAAGTCTCAACCCCATTCTACAAGTATGTCAAGACCATAAACATGAATAGCAATTCACAAAAATGTTTCAGACCCACCATCTATCGAAAAGAGAAATAGTGTTCAATTGAAACTACCTACGAGTCAAATGCTCAATTGATATAACAGAACCTTTGAAAAAGGGATTCCACTTAGTTGAAGACAATCTTGACAACCTATGGATCAACTTTAAATATGAGAGATTGTCCAATTTCTGCTACAAATTTGGACTGCTTGACCCTAGTCGTGATCTCTAACTAGAGAGGAACACTAAGGAAGTTGGAGAAGATGCATATGGACCAGATCTAGGAGTCAAAACCAAATCAATCAAAAGTTTTCTTCAAAGAAAATGGACTGAAAATTCCAAGGCGACTGGAAACCCACTCCAAATAATGCAAACGATCGGAGAAAAATGGCACCCAAGCGATAGGTGAACACAACCTACCGCCTAACAACACGTGCGAATTGCAATAGGGTGGAGGCTGTGACGTTTCAAAAGGGATCACCATCCAACAACAAAAATCTACCAGACAAACCCACTATCGACCTATGGCCAACAAACCGGAATATTAGACAATAAGACACAAAACCAAGAAGGTACTCACTCATATACAACTTATAAGGTAGGAAACATGATCCTCCTGAAAAAAGGAAAAGATGTGGTAACCCTAATTCCCCAAGTCCACCACATATCCCCATATCAGCCATCAAGGGAAAGCCCTAGTGAAACCCAACACTTTGTGACTAAACCACCAAAAAGTCCAAATCACTTCTCAATGGACCTAATTCAAACCAAATACCTGGGACATGTGGAATGTAAAAAAGAAAATCCAGAAGGACCTTTTTACCATAAGCCCATCACCCAAACCTTGGTACCAAACCATGTAAGCCTCAAGCTAGCGGTAGGTTTTGTCAAGATGAATTTCAACTAAAAGGGACAGAAGAAATTGACCTTTCCTGCTAACCGAAAAGACACAAGAGTATGGAAGGAGATATGCTCCCTCTGGAACCAAATAACTCCTACATCATGAAGCTGCAAAAGGACCCAAAAGTTATACTTAACTCCTGGCCTGACAAGCCGATCATGACAAGAGGGTACAAACGGGTGAAAGGAAAAAACTTCAAAGGAAATCTGAATCTGATAGGAGACCAAGTGGCAGGAACAAAGCTTTGCATAGAAGTGAAAACTATAGAGACCGCAAACTTCAAGTGCCAAAGAGAACGGCCACTGCATGAACAAGATAAAAGTAAGTTCCAAGTACCTTTCCAGTAGCAAGTGACACCAACCCCTCAAATGAGGCGGTGGTGACTGGCGTAAAACAACCACGTGTCTCATGTTAATCCTCTCATGAAACTATCAAAAAATGAGGACGACTGAAGACAGTCCACAATTTAAGAAGGATAATCAACACCCATCGTCCAGGAATAATCTTCGTAATGGAGAGAAAAAACAAAAGTGAGAAATTACTAAGGCTCATAAGAGGATTCGATTACCCAAATTGCACCTAAGTGGAACTAGTTGGACTATCAAGAGGGCGAGCATTGTGGTGGAACGAAAATGTCAATCTGGAAATCAATTTTGCAAACAAAAACATGATTCATACTCTCTATTCCACAAAGCAACCCCCAAATAAATGGCAAACAACCCTTGTCTGCGTGAACCCAGAATATACGCAGAGGCAGAAGATCTAGTAAGCTTTGAAAATACTATCATGGAACAACCATATGGCCTGCCTACTCACTAGTGACTTTAGTGCTATTGGATTGATTTGGACATATTAGGAGGGAAAGGGAAAAGCTCAAAGAAAGGGGAAGAAATGCAGCAGTTAATATCTGATTGCAGACTACTTGACTTAGATTTTAAAGGGCCAAGATTCACTTGGTTAAATAACTGACTAGGTAAGGCAAATGTGCAGGAACGAATATACAAAGTGTTGGCCAATCCTGAATGGCGAACGTGTTTTCCCCATGCCCAAGTCTTTCATGAACCAAGAATGGGTTCAGACCATAGCTTGATCCTCGTTGCCCTAGGAAACACTCCCAAAAAAGTCCCACACACTTTCAAATTCGAATCCATAGGATTGAAAAATCAACTGATGAGTCAAGCCCAAGGGCCTTGCTCAAATTATAAGCTCAGTCCGAGTTTATAGCCCATCTTCAAGAGATCCAGCTAGTTTAGCTCAATGCAGTCAATTCGGACAAGCTCATCAAGAATCAAGGAGCAACATTAGTAGGGAGTATGCAAGGTCATCCAAGAGCCTCTTCTACCACCTTGGAGTAAGTGTCATCCAAGAGCCTCCTCGACGCCACCAACGAAGCATCCAAGAGCCTCTTTCTCGAGGCCTAAAGAGAGTCAATCTTCTCACATCCTTTGACCAAGTCCCTTGGAGAGCATCATAACTTCCTCGCCGATTGAGGAGATGAGAGGTTGTTAAGCTATTTAATTACCGTTAAAGTCACCACAATCCGTTATGACTATTAGACGGCCCTAACCCATTATGACCGTCAAACTAGTTATTCAATTACTATAATAAGCCACTATAAATTGTACGCGCCCACCAATACTTGAGGGGCATCAGACTCATTTTGAGCATAATACTCTCCTCCTCTCTGAAAGCTTGTAATCTTGTGCTCTCCCTCCACACCGGAAATAATAAAATTTCGGTGACCCTTGCTATTCAAAGTGGACGTAGTTCATATTGATCAAACCACTATAAACATTGTCTTCACTCTCTCTACTTTACTGTATTTATATTACTTAATTGATAGGTGGTGTGCAAACCAATTTTGTGCATCATCAGTTTGGCGCCGTCTGTGGGAACGACAAAATTCTCATGTAAACACTTTTTTTCCTGAATAAAAGGTGATCATCGCCATGATCCATGAGTCAGCCTAAAGACATTCCACCACGAGAGGAAGAGGTTGCTCCTCCACCTGTCAATCCCTTCCCAAATGTACAGTAGATGCTGAACACAATGCAACAACTTATAGTCCAGAACCAGTAGGTTCTGTAATTGATACTCGAGCAACAAAAAGAAGCGCAGCCTGGATCTCAAGCCAGGGGAACTCCACTCCCATGTCATCAAGGAGCTCCCCACCTCGGCATTCCCCATCTAGGCTCCCCCTTGGGCATCCCACCTATGGGAGCTCCCATAGGCGCCCCACACAAGGGGGCCTATCATAAGGGACCTCCTCCTCCAGGCTCCTACTCCCCATGGTGGAGACCCTCCTTTCCAAGAGGATGATGGTGAAAACCAAAGCATGAAGCATGGGAGCTATGTCCATGATAATTCCAGAGGACCTCCTCTTAATCACTGGAACGAAAAAATTAAAGAAGTGCAAAATCAATTGGGAGACTTCTTCAATGCCATGAAGGCACAAGGACCCGAGACAGTGGACTACCTCGTAAGTCGAACCGACACACCTTTCAAACCTAACGTAGTGAACTACACACTTCCTCTGAAATTCAAGATGCCATCCGAAGAGAAACCTTTTACGAATACAAAGAATCCACTAGACCACCTCGAAACTTTTAAGACCTTGATGCAGCTACATAATGTCCCCGACAAAATCATGTGCAAAGCATTCCTAACCACCTTGAAGGGATTCGCTTGACAATGGTTCGTCAAGTTCTCCCCAACATCCATTGGCTTTGTTGAGCTGAGCAGGTCCTTTGTGTCACACTTCATTAGAGAACGCCGCCACCAGAAGCCTGTCACCCATCTGCTCAACATAAAACCGGATCGAGATGAGAGCCTAAGGAGCTATCTCACTCATTTTAACAAAGAGGTCCTTCAGGTCGATGAACCTGATGATAAAGTCACCATGACTACCTTTCTAGGAGGCCTCCGCTCATCGAATTTCCTTTTCTCAATAATGAAGCGACCACCAAAAAGCATGTCAGAACTATTGACAAAAGCTCAAAAATATATAAATGCTGAGGAAATCAACAAGTCTATGCGAGGTGAATCATCTCGCGGATCGTCAAAAGCTTGACCTGCCTCTCCACTGTTCTTAAACAGGCAGCCTATCTCCAGCTTAGCAGCTTTCTCACGGGTCACCAAAAAGCTTGGCCTCTACACTCCAGACAGTCTATCTGCAACTGAGCGGCTCTCCCGCAGGTCGCCAAAAGTTTGGCCTCTGCTCTGCTTTCAAGCAGACAGCCTATTCCCAACTAAGCATCTCTCCCGCGGGTCACCAAAAGTTTGGCATCTGCTTTGCTCTCAAGCAGGCAGCCTATTCTCAACTAAGCAACTTTCTTGCGGGTCGCCAAAAGTTTGGCCTTTGCTCTGCTCTCAAGCAGGAAGCCTATCTCCAACTGAGCGACTCTCTCGCGGGTCGCCAAAAGCTTGGCCTCTACTCTGCTCTCAAGCAAGCAACTTATACCTCAAGCTTAAGGACTCTCTCATGGATCGCCAAAAACTCGACCTCAAAAGGTGTATCGCGCAAGTAGCCTACCTCTCTTTTCAGGTAATTATGTTAGATACTTTAACATTTGGAATAACATTATTTTTGTCATCTCTAGCCAAACTCTTGAAACTCAGGTCATCTGCAACCCGAGGGACTACATTAAATTGAATGTCAACAATCGGGCCACATTCTTTTGTGTCCATCTGGCACCACCGCCTCATTGTCGTAGCACCCCGCGCTTAACACCTAAACCAAACAAGCTCTATTTGCGCTTGCCTCCAACCAGCGCACCTCCATTGCGATCAACAAAATTGCCAGCCAACGGCGCCTAGTACCATGGGCTCCTCTCCAACAGTGCCCATCACCATAGGGCCCTCTGCAGCAGTGCCCAGCACCATGGGTGCCTCTCCATCAGCACCCAATGCATGGTGCATCCCACCTGGCACCATAGCGCCTCGCAGTCAGCACTAGAGACGCCCCTCATCTCAGTCCCTGTGGCATGGGTTGCCAACTCGATCTCGGTATCCTCAGCACACAGTTTTTGTGCGAGTGCCCTCTATGAACTCCCATTTGACAAGACTGCCAAGGCACCCAGCCTGTTCGCCCGAGACTGCCAAGGTGCACAGCCTGTTCTCCCAGCATGGATCGTCGTCGCAGCAACTCCGCTCACCTGGCCTGCTCGTCTTTCCACAGCGTGTGCTCCAGCACACCTAGCTTGCACGTTAGCGGAGCCCGAGGCAAGCCCATACACCTGTGCGTCTCCCTCTCTCGCCTGAGTTGCTCGTCCAATTGGTGTCACCACAGCCTGGGCGCCCAATCCCTCTCTCGTCTGGCTTTCTCGCCAAAATTAGGGTTGTCATAGCCTGGGCACCCAATGTCTCCTCCTCACGCACTCTAGACGTGTGCACAGTAGGCTGTTCCCCCAAACCACTACTCTCAGCTACCTGCTCTTCTTCTCCGGGGACAACAACGATCTCTTCAAAAATTCAAAAGGAAAGTGAAAGAAAGAATCTATATAGTCAATAGAGTCCTACAAGTAAAAGGAGTCTACTGGAAGGGATGGAGTCACCGATCAAGAGGAGTTTTCAAAAAAAATCGAATTTAAAAAAGGCTACATGCTATTTTGACCACAACTTTTTGATCTGAAACTCCAAACGAAGCTTATTATATATCAAATCGAAGCTCTCGATGAGCCCTACAAAAAAAAAAAAAAAGCTCAGAAACAGCTGTTTTGACCTCCCAAAGTTTAAAAAAAAAATTCAGCTCTCCCAGGAGGCTGTCTTCTCGTCCAAAACCATGCACCCACCCCCTGCACACTATTTTGATTATAACTCTTGATTCGAAACTCAAAATAGGACTTATTATATACCAAATCGAAGCTCTCGATGAACTGAGAAAAGGTCATTACCAAATTTCAGAAAAAATCCAAAAAAGGCCCAGAAATAGGTGTTTTGGCCTCCAGAAGTAAAAAAAAAAAAAATTGCTCGCCCAGAACAGTGCCCTGCTCACCTGGAACAGTGCTGCTTGCCCGAAAAGTTGTCGGCTCACCCAAACTGCTCACCTAACTCTCTGCTCGAAGTTTTGACCGTAATTTTTACTCCGTTACTCTAAATGACGCTAATAATTTAGCAAATCAAAGCTCTCAGCGAGCCCTACAAAAAATGCCTATAAACAGATGTTTTGGCCTCTTGAAGTTTTTTCAATTGTGTCGGTCAGCTAAAAATTTAAACTCAAACTGAATACCCTCCTTTCCAAGTTCTGTTAAACACAGGGCATTGGGGTTAAATGATGGGTCAAGCCCAAGGGCCTAGCTCAAATTATAAGCCCAGTCTGAGTTTATAGCCCATCTCCAAGAGATCCAGCAAGCCCAGCTCAATGCGGTCAACCCAGACAAACTCATCAAGAATCAAGGAGCAACATCAGCAGCGAGTATACAAGGTCATCAAAGAGTCTCTTCTACCACCTTGGAGTAAGGGTCATCCAAGAGTCTCTTCTGCCACCTTGGAGTAAGTGTCATCCAAGAGCCTCCTCTACGCCACCAAGAGAGCATCCAAGAGTCTCTCCCTCGCGGCCTGGAGAGAGTCAATGTTCCCACATCCTTTGACAAAGTCCCTTGGAGAGCACCATAACTTCCTCACTGGTTGAGAAGAGGAGAGGTCGTCAAGCTATTTAATTGTCACTAAAGTCACCCCAATTCGTTATGACTATTAACCCGTTATGACCGCCAGATTAACTATTCAATTACTACACTAAGCCACTATAAATTGTACGTCCCACCAACACTTAGGGGGCATTAGACTCATTTTGAGCATAATAATCTGCTACTCTCTGAAAGTTTGTAATCATGTGTTCTCCCTTTACACCGAAGATAATAAAATTTCAGCAACTCTTGTCATTCAAAGTGATCGTAGGTCATATTGACTGAACTACTATAAATCTTGTCTTCTTTTTCTCTCTACTTTATTGCATTTTATATTACTTAATTGACAGGTGATGTGCAAACCAATTTTGTGCGGCATCATCAACAGTGCGAGGAGGTCATCAAATCATGCTGGGAGAAGAATGTAGTGGGATCACAAATATTCTCAAGTAACAAGAAACTGAAAACTTGTAGTGGAAAGTTAAAGCAGTGGCACAAATGTAATTTTGGCAACAACAGGATCATCATTTCTGATTTACAAGCACAGCTTGCAAAAGTCCAAATAGAGGAACCCACCGAAGAGAATCTATTCAGAGAAGCTGAACTTGCTGCAAAGATAGATGTTATATGGCGAAGGGAGGACAAATTTTGGCTACAACAATCAAAAGTTAATTGGCTCAAAGCGGGTGATCAGAACACCCTTGTTTTCCATTTAACAACAATCCAAAGGAGGAGCGAAACCAGATTTTTTAAGACTCAAGGCTGAAGATGGGAGAAGGGTAGAAGATGACGAATAACTGAACGCCCCTATGAATGAATATTTTCAAGCTCTCTTCCAAACGGCAGGGACTAGAAAAATGGAGGCAGTGCTAGAAGTAATATCCCCCATGATCACAAAGGAAATGAACAGGAATCTGCTGCAACCAGTCACACAAGAGGAGGCCTACAAAGCTCCAATGCAAGGTATATTCTATCATAAATTCTGGTCTATTGTTGGACTTGAGATGTACAAAAAAGTAACAAATTTTTTCGAAGGGTGCCATCTGCTTAAAGAACTGAACAAGACCAACATAGGGCTGATTCCCAAAGAAGCTATACCAGAAGGCATGACACCATTTACATCAATAGCTCTGTGCAACTTTAGTTACAAAATCATCTTCTCAAAAGTGTTGACCAATAGGTTGAAACCTTTGCTGAATAAACTGATCACACCAAATCACACTGTTTTTTTCCCAAATTGACAGATCCAAGATAGTATACTAGTAGCGAATGAGACTTTTTAGTTCCTGAAAACAAAGGAAAGAGTGAATGAATTCATGGCTAGTAAACTTGACTTGAATAAAGCTTATGTAGGGTCGAATGGGATTCTGTTGAAGCACTTATGCTTCAAATGGGTTTTCATCCGAATTGGGTCGACCTGATTGTCCAATGTATCAGCCCAGTCCAGTATGATGTAATTGCTAATGGTGAAACTAGATGCACACTAAAACCTCAACAAGGCATTAGGCAAGGAGATCCTCTCTCCCCTTACCTCTTTTTACTTGTGGTTCATGTGTTGTCTAGAATTATCCACAAGGAGGTGAGAGAAGGGAATATTTCTGGGATTAGGATCCAAAGGAGGAACCCCACCTTATCCCATTTGTTTTTTGCTGATGATTCACGCCTGTTTGTAAAAGCAGATATACAGGAAAGCAACCATCTTATGGATATTCTGAGACGTTTCAGCATGGCATCTGGCCAGTTGATCAATCTGAAGAAATCTGGAATTATCTTCTCAGGCAACACGCAGGAAGACAAGAGGACGGAAATCTGCCAGAACCTACAGATGAGCCCCTTACCTCTCAACTGGGATTCGCAGCTTTTTGTGGCAGATCAAATGCACAAACACTCAACTACATTATGGAGCGAATCATGAACCAAAAACAAGGATGGAAGCATTTGTTCCTCTCCCAAGCAGGAAACGAAACCCTCATAAAATCAGTGGTGCAAACAATACCAATCGTATGACATGTGGTGCATAGCATTTTAAAAAATGTGTTAAGTTAGTTTTAGGAAATAGTTACTGTGATAATCAAAAGTTATTAATTTAGTCTCTCTTTAATTAAAATCTCTTCGATTGAATTAATAAAATAATTATATTTTATTATTTCACTGTTTTGTGTGCTTATCACTTTAAATTTAATCCAAGTAAATTCTAAAACAAGGCAATTGAACACATCATTAACAATTGCCTTAAAGTTGTCTATCAATTAAGCCTCCTCCGCTGATAACAACAAATTTTAGAGCAACACAAAATGATTACTGATTTATTTTGACTCATTCATTGAGAATATACACTATTTTATTAGTAATTTACAAATATAGTTAGTCTTATCCATAGAGTGAATTCTAATCTAAATCCGAATTGAATTAGCCGGAGATGGATTGATATTTTCTTTCACCGATAGTTCAAACCCGAATTTGAATTCGATATCTTTTATTTCACAGATTCGGATTTGGATATACATTTATTTGATCTGATTATGCTCTAATCCAAATCTATTTATATATTTCTATGTAAATAAAAAAATAAGTGATTTTTTAAGAAATTTATTTTAAATTTAGGTATAATTTGTTAAAATTAAGTTAATTAAGTTATTCGAATAAAATTTCGGATTTTTAACAAATTTGAATATGGACCACAAAAATAAAATCCGTTAGATTATTAGATCAGATTCAAATTGAACTTTTAAATTTGGATTCGGATCATCCTAACCGATTTATTGACAAGCCTACATATGTTGCGTTATAATCACACAAAAATTTCTCCCAATCTAGGGTTACTTGAATATTTCATCAAATCAAGGGAGCATTTGAGGGATAACTAATTCAAGAAATTTAAAAAATTACTATATGGGAGTTAACATGGGCTGGGCCACTTTGTCAAAATTTATCCCAAACTTGACTTGGCACAGGGCAAAATCTGACCGATCCAATCAATATCAATTGCACCCTAGCTAACTGAGAGAATTTTTATAAATCCTCAAATTTTATGGAATTTTACTTAGGACAACGACCAGAGACTGTCTTGATAGTCTTTCATTGATGGGATGATGAGACTCGACTGTGCCCGTTACTCCTCTCGGGAACAAACCTAACTAGAATAGCACAGCAGTCAACCACCGAACCCTAAATTGAATTCTAAGACTCAAACCTTTAACCTCAGGGTGAGAAGTTCGGTCGGTATCCCATTGGACCACCCCACTCGATGGTAAATTGGAATTTAACTTAAAACGTCTTTAGATCTTGCTTACTGCTAGCTTTGAAACCCTTAATATTTTTTTTTGTAAAAGGAGAATTTTGACCCAAAATTATCTATAAAAAATAACACACATTATAAATACCCCCAAAAAAGTACTTAAAAGGCATTAGGATGATAGATTATTTGTTAATGCTATGGATATTTCAGTATTCTCCAGGAGATTACTTGCATCAGATACAAGAGGGGAAGATAACTGTAAAGTCATGCAAATTTGTTAATGTTTTAAGTGTAATGATATTAATAAGAAGTTTGAATCCCCTCTCCGTCGTTGTACATTAAAAAACTGAGTCATTTTATGATAAGAAGTCGCAAGAAAACTAGACAGTTGTTTATTACCTTCTTGTTTTGGGAGAAATGGCCTTGTGGAGTTGCCGTGAGCGTCACCGGAGCCAACTCCGGCTGCTTCGCAGTGCAGTGCCGATAGCAGCAACAGAGTAACTGAGAACTTGCACAGCAATAGATGCATCTCTCTCTCTCTCTCTCTCTCTCTCTCTCTCAAAAGAGCTTCTTGCCTCTGAGATTAGCTTAGCTCAAGTGTTCTTTCACATATTTGCATGTATATATAATTTGCATGAGTTTTTTTTTTATTTTTTTGTGTTTTTTTTTATATTTAAAATTAAGGGGTAGGGATAAAGAAGAGTATCCTGAGACTGGTGGGATCATGAAGTCTTTGACTGTACCCGTTACTCTTCACTTAACTAGACTAACATAGTACTTAACCACTAAACTCCAATTTAAATTTTAAAACTCGAACCTCTAATTTTTCGATCTGTATCCCCAACCGAATCACCCCACTCATAGTTAATTTGCATGAGTTAAGAATCAACTAAAGCAACCAACTTTTTGTTTGGGCATGCAGGGCAATTGTTTGTTTTCAAAGGTCACTATGAATATTATAAATAATTTATCCAAAGTGGAAATCAATCATGATCATTTTGTGGCGAGTTGTTGAATTGTGCTAGAAATTATTAATTGTGCAAAATTAAGACTAAATATTCAATATGATGCTGGTACCCCTACAAGAAAAAGGGCATTTGTGACAAAATTTTTACAACATCTGTGTTTGTCATCACAAAAGGTGTATTTGAGACAATTTTTTGTGGCGACTATGTATACCGTCATAAAAAATGTATTTGTATTAATATTTTGTTAATATTTGTGGCAACTATTTTTCCTGCCGTAAAAAGTGTCATAAACTCAAAAAAAATATTTGTATTTGAGACAGCTATTTTTCCTGTCGCAAATAATATTTCATAAACTCAAATTTTTTTTTATATTTATGACAGCTATTTTTCCTGTCTTATATAATATTTCATAAAACATTAAAATGTTGTTTTAGATTAAAAAACAGTTTATAGTTTAAAGAATAAAAACTCTAAAAAAAATTTGTATTGACCGCAATTATTTTTCATGTTACAAGTAATATTTTATAAAATTATGTAGTTTTATATCAAAAGACAATTTCTAATTCAAAAAAAAAAATTAAACTCTACAAAGTCAATTTTTTATATCAAAATTAGAGGTGTCAAAATATGACACGACCCGTTAACACGATATAAAATTAGTAGGTTTGAGTTTTCCTTAAGCCACATGTTTAGTAAACGAGTGGACCCGACACGATACGACTATAAATGAATTAAATATTAGTAAAAGCAATTAGAAAAAAATGTATGCGATATGACTCGTTTATATACCATTTACATAATTAGATAAGTTGTTCGAAGAAATATTGTGTAATCCTATGTTGATGTATATTCTAACTTCTTTTAGTTCTTTTATTGTGTGTGTGTGTGTGTGTGTGTGTGTGTATATATATATATCATTTCAGTATATAGTAATAATTTTTTTATGTTTTTTTCAAATGCTAATGAGAGAATAGATGGTTTGGGAAGGATGTTCAACTTTTTGCATTAATTTCTTGTGCTCATGGATTATTATGTTTTGTAAAAGTGCATATTTTACATTTTGTTTAACTTATGAGATTAGTTTCTTTGATATGAAAATATTGCTATGTTTTTGGAAATGTCGGTCATATTTATTTTTGTGTTTTTCTATATGTTAAATTGGGTAGTTGTACTAATTCCAATGAGCCTTTGCTCTAATGGTATTTCTTACCTTTTGAAAGTTTTGCCTTATTGAGCTCAAAGGTTCAAGTCTCCTTCCCTCTTCCCCCTCCCAAAAAAAAAATAATGGAAAATAGAAGTCCTCCCCCTCCCAAAAAAAAAGAATGGAAAATAGAAGTGTTTATATGCACGGCGTATAGAACATTGGTTACTAACAGTCGATAATAATTATTTTTTTTTTGTGGTGGCATCGTTGCCGTCATAAATATATTTCATTTGACAGCCAAATATGGTATTTGAGGCAGCATTTTTGCCTCCGTAATAAAAACAAAAGTATCGAATTTTTTGTGACAACTATTTACGACATAGTCTTGCTATTGTATATATTATTTGAGATAGATTATTACTGCCATAAAAAATTTTTGAGACCACACTTATTATGGCAAGGCAATACTGCCACAAAAAATATTTGTGACAGCACTTTACCGTCGTAAAAACTTTTTTTTTCTTGTAACGTACTATATCGTACTAACTTATAGTATTACTGTGCAATGAGAAGTAAATAAGTGCATATTGTCTTAAATAGAGGGGTAGTCACAAAAATAATATAACACAACTCAAACATAGTAAGCCTTGAATTGAAGGTGTCATTTTGTAGAAAAGGACACAACAAAAAATGATAGCAAGTTTTTTTTCCACAATTGGAAAGCAACTACCCATTTAGAATTAAACAAAGCTTATTAGTGGAAGACAAAAGGCAAAAGGCAAACAGAGTTTTAAATGGGTCATATCACCATGTCATGTTAAAGTTTATTCCATTCACATTATATGAAGGGTGAGTTGAATGATAGCAACCAGGTTGTATCAATGGAGTTTTAAATGGATGCTATCACTATGTTATGTAAAAAGTTTACTCTATCTTCATTTAACATACTTATATTGGTGATCGTGTTGTTTGTAAGTCATATTTAAGAAGATCGAGTTCGATCCATTTACCAAATTTAGTGACAAGTCAACCTATTTATGACTCAAAAAAACCCTTAACTAAATTGTTGTGAATTTTATAATCATTTTGTGGTGAGTTGTTGAATTGTGCTAGAAATTATTAATTGTGCAAAATTAAGAGTAAATATTCAATATGATGTTGGAACCACATCATACTGACCAATAGTATTACTATGCAATGAGATGCAAGTAAATGCATATTGTCTTAAATGGAGGGGTAGTCACAAAAATAATATAACACAGACTCAAACATCGATGGGAAGACATGAATTGAAGGCGTCATTTAGTAGAAAGGGACACAACAAAAAATGATGACAAGTTTGTTTTTCCAATTGGAAAGCAACTACAGAGAAAAAAAGCTTTTTCTTTTGGCCATTTAGCTTTAAAATCAGTCAAGAAGTTGTTTGCATGTTCAGATTGCATGCAAATAATTATCGTATTGCTATTGAAAAAATAAAAGGTAGGTCTATTAATTTAACTTATCTTTTTGTCTTTGATGTGGAATTAGGGGAAAATTTCTTCTATGCATGATAGAGACTAATTTCACAGATATGTTAGCGTTGAAAAACACCTTAATTTATAATTCGGGTAAATTACACTTTAACCTCATCAATTATAATTTTTTATTTTATTTTATGTCATAAACTAATATATTTTTTACATTGTACTTTTAACGATGTTATTAATTTCATATTACCCACATTATTAAAGTCCGTTAC